TAAAAAAATAAATAGAGTCAAGAAAAATAAATAAAATAAATAAAATACATGAAAATAATAGTGAAAATAATATATACATAGTAAATAAATAAATAAATGCAAGAGAAAAAAATTAGATATAAGATAAGTATACAAAAAAATAGATATAAGATAAACAAAATAATATATATATATATATACTAATATTAATAAAATAGATAAAGGGAAAGAATATATATATATATATATATGCAAAATAATAAAATACAATATCTAAAATAAATAAATAAAAAAATATGAATGAAATATATATATATATATATATAATAGTAATAACGATAATAAGACTAATATAAAAAAGGTGAAATATATATATGTAATAAAACTAATGAAAATAATAGTAATGAATAAAACCAAAAAAATATAATTAAACATGTATATATATATAGGGGATTAAATTAAAATAAAAACAAAATTACGGAGTAAATTTCAAAGAAAATTGAGGCTTAAAATAGATTTAGGGGGCGAAACGAGAGAATTAAAACAATGGAGGACCAAAATCGCGGTTTACCCTTTAACTAACAGAAACACGTGGATCCTTCCTCGGGTCGAGTTGACACGCGGGTCACCGCACGGGCTGGGTATAAAGCCCAACAATTTTTTTTAACCTTCTTTTCTCTTCTTCTCCACACGAAGCGCCCCTTTTTCAATTTGCTCCCAATTGTTCTTCATAATGAAGAACGAGGGCTTGGGTTTCCAGAATCCGGTGGTGGCGTCGCCTCGCCAGCAAAACATTTTTTTTTCGAGAGCTTTTTCCATCCATTGCTTAAAAATCGAGTGATTTTTGCAAATAAACCTCGGGGGTGAGTAGATCTAAGAATGAAAGTTCGAAAAACACCCCCCTTTGTCATCGGCCAAAATGGTATTTTGTGGTTTAAAGAAAAAAAAGCGAGTAACGACGCGTGCAAGTGAAGAAAAACATGAAAGGTAAAAGCTTTCACCTTGTATTGCTTCGAATCGTTTACAATAGCTTTGAGTATTCTTACTTTGATTTCTCTATGCGTGCTTTTTGTGTGTAATCTCTGTGTGTAAATCGTGTGAAATTCGTACCCCGTTGACTGAGATTACAAACTTATTTATAATACTAAACAAAGCTATTTTTAGTTCCGAAAAGTTTGAGTTCTAATCGAATTGTGACTCTTGTTTATTGCGAGTTGTTGGTGTTCCTTGCGTTGGATATTTCGGGGCTGATGGAGACGAGACGTATGGCCGTGAAACTCGGAGAGAAAGACGTGAGGCTTGGAGATGCGGCGTTGGTGAGAAGCTACTAGGGTTTGGGAAACCCTAGCTGATCTGGGTTAGGGGTGTCACGGGTCTTGGGCTTTTCTGAAAATGAGCCACTATTAGATCGTTTTATTTGATGTATTGGGCCTGTAAATAAAAAAAATATTTGTTAATAAAATAATAATACTACATATATATATATATATACATGTATATGTAGGCTTCGGTCAAAAGTGCGTCTACAACTATATTTAATATACGTAATAGTTAGTCTATTTAGGTAACGGTCCATTTTTCCCATAAGAAAATAGCAAACCAATTGAGGCCATAAATTTTAAGGATTAACTTGATGACTTTGTGTTCTCATATTATATAAGCCCGATTCATGAAATTGGATGTCATAATTCTATCTTTTTTAGTAACTTTTGTTTAAGTGAGGAAAAAGTAAGAATTTTGTTTTTAATAAGTATTTAATTGTAACCTATATAAAAAAGGTAAACAATATTTAATTATTTGATAAAGAGATTATTAATATAGATTTTACATTTTAAATTATTCGAATTTCATCCCATTCTTTATTGAGTTGCATTCCATAAAGAAATAAATTATTTTAAATCATTGTGTAAATAAATTCTCTCTAAATTCTATTTGTATTTACGATTGTAATGGGTCAAACTTTTACTTGGCAAATTAATAATTAAAAAAAAAACTAAGACTCGTTTAGTTTTTCTTTTCTTTTTCCTCATTTTAATAGGTCAACGTTTTACTTGATACCTTAACAATAAAGAAATACATGTTTAGTTTTTTTTAATATTTTTTGTTTTGTTTTTAAAAAATATTTTTGTTTTCAATAATACGTTCTACAACATATGTTTGATAAATAAAAATAAAAGTTTTTTTAAATAATCAAATAATATCTCTGTACCCATTTTTTGTAATAAAAAATAAAAGTTATTATTTTTTAAGGATTTAAACGAAAGTGAAAGATTTGATATTTAGAAAATATTGATTTCATTTTGCGTTATGTAGATTTGAATTATGCTTAATTTGTTAAATTAAGATAACACTAGTTTTCAACTTATTTCAATTATTAAAACATTTTCTTAGAGAAAACAATAAAATCATTTTTATTTTCTTATAAAATTTCATTTCCATTTTTTAAAAGATCGTTTTTATAAACTTCAATTAAACAACATTTTTTCATAGTTTTTCCTCTCTCTCTTTTTGGAAAAACAAAAATCACTCATGTTTTTTTAACCAACATACCTTTTTTTAAAACAAAATATTTTTAACCTGAATTAGCACTCAATTGATTGATAACGTCAATTAAGTCGAGAGTTTAGATATATATATATATATATTGACCAAATAAGATGAGACGTAAAAGGAGATGAACATCGTTTTGTAATGTGGCAATATCTTGAAGTTTTACCCAAACAAAAGCCGAATTAGAGTAAATATTACAAATGTCGAATACGAACCAACTAATTGGAGCATAGATTATTTTAATTAGTGTCGCGTGCTTGCCTAAATAGGCCGTTTCTTGACCTGCCACTGCCTACTTTAGTTCATCCTCCATCCATTTGGCCCTTTCAGATTTGAATTATGGAAAACGGCCTAGTGCTTCCGAGATTTTACTGATCGGTTAGGCGTAGGGTTGGGCATGGGTCGGGTTGGGTCAGTTTTTTAGTCCATCCGACCTGACTCGAGAACAAGGAGTCCTCCACCCGAGACCCGACTCGATCCGACCAAAATAAGTTTTCACCCGAAACGATATATAAATTTAAAAATCCGACCGACCAGACCGAAATAATAAAAAATATTTTTATTCAATAAAAATAATGACTTAATTGAAAAAAATAATATATAGAGGGGTATTATTGTAATTATTACTAAATATATAAGGTAAAATTATATATTTTTCGAGTCGGGTCGGGTATTTTCACCCTAAACCCCAACCCGACCCGACCCAAACATCATCTTAAAAAAAACGACCCGAACCCAATTTTTTATAAAAAAAATCAACCCGATCGGATTCAAATCTCATGTCCATTCCTAGTTAGGCGGCCCTAATAGCTTCAAACGATATGTACGGTTTAAACCCTCGGTTATCAATAAGAGTCGAATGTAAAATTATGTTTTAAAAGATAAATTTTTAAAAAAGTAAAAATAAATTATTATTAAAAACGTAAAAAATATTTAAATGTATAATATTTAACAATTTTAAGGAGCAACCGTTCCTCGTATGGATTCGTCCCTATTATTAATTGTAATAATAAATTGCTGGTTAGATTGATGCTATGGACACAAATACAGCGGAATTTGTACAACGTGGAAAGCATATCGGCTGCTTTCATAGCCATCAGTCGGGATGAACACGAGAGGAATATAAAAAGAGTACTATTGTACACGCACACGACGTACCCCTACATCTTTATATAATTCAGATCGTACTACTTTCCTTGCTGAAAAGGTAAATTATTGGAGCCAAACAAAAGCAAAACAGAGTTATACCGGTTCATTCTTATTTAAATCCAATAACTTTTATATATATAATAAATTTAAATATAATTTAATTTTATTCTACTCGATAACACTATGAATTTTGACATCATAATAGCAATGCTATGCTACTAGTCCACCATTACTATTTTTTTCTCTAACACATCATGGATTAATTATGTACTGATTACAGATACCAATTTTCTTATTTCAAACTTTTTCATGTGAAATTACTGGTTAACTCTAATAAATTAACTATTAATCTTTGAGGGGTAATTAATAAAAAGAAAACGAGATCAATATTCTAGGGTCCCACCTGTTAATTCGGTTCTTCTCTTTTGTGACAAAAGGGAACAAAGTTAAGATCGTGATGTTTCGAAAGTAAATGTTTTTATGAGCTAAACTCAAACCACTTCATAGAGTAATATTCTTCACTTGTTTATATAAAAATATAGGATTAAAGATGTATGGGTTATCGAACTTGGAGTTTGTGAATGGAGCAAATTAGGTTGAGAGGGTCATCCTTACCTCTACAGTATTCAATCTGGATTAGTCGATCAATAGTCAGATATCAGTGATTAATTAAAAAAAAATGTATGTACTATGAAGTTTTTGAATCAAAAAAATAATAATTTTTTCAAAAGAAAGGTAAACCAGTCGTAGCAGATAGCATCAAAATCAGCAGGCAAATTAAGAAAGAAGAAACAGACAGCAACGGCATCAAGTTTCTCTCGTAAGAATCTATATCACCGTTTGCTTTATGAAATTTAAGGGAATACGTGAATCGTTGAACAAGTTTTTGTACGAAGCCGTCATAAGAACAAGTTCCACGAAAAAGGAACGGTGGTTTGGAGAAAGTGGTGCGCTGTCGGTTTTACTTCGAAATTTGCACAATAAATTAAGAAAGATTTCCATTTCTGTAAAGAACGACTTCAGTCGGCCGAGGATTCAAAAACGAAAAGAAATGCTTCTTTTGTTCTGGGCTGTGGCTAAATGTTCATTGAAACGACTGTACAAAAATCCTTATTGCACGTTGACAAACATGCGGATTCTGAACCTTGTATACAGACCTGGGTGGAAAAAGGAAGAGTTAATCTTGTATATTACACCATTCGATTCCTATCGTAAGGCGTTTACTTTTGAGCTGTTAATGTGCAGCATCAGTTTATTTTCTTTCTACTATATAAACTATGTCATGGTTAGACATTAATTCCATCGTTTCTTGCGCATTTAGTTTTCAGCTTTTGATCTTCAAATTGTTTGGAACCACTCCGCGATATGTCGAACCAACCGGCACCAACTCGGCCCTGGTTTCGATTAGTATCCATTACAAGGCCAGCACCAACCTCAACTCCTGAACCAGCTCCAGCTCTGCCTCGATCAGACACTATTCGACTTGCATTCAGGCCACCAACTCGAGCTCAACCAAATGCCGCTGCTCCACCACCACCTGCAGGTAGTGTTTCTTCGGTTCCTCCATCACCTACAGATAAAAAACCTACGGTTCCGGTCAATGCAGATACTTCTTCGGTCCCCAATTCCCCCGTGAAGACCGTGCCAACTACTACTCCCGCGAAAACAGCAGCAACTTCGTCCTTGCCATCTTCTCCAGCAGCGAAGCCAGTGGTTACTAATAACACGGAGAAAGTTTCACCTGCCAAGAGAGCTCCAACTGCAACATCAGTGGCAAGTTTCCCTACCCAAAAGCCTGCCTCCTATGTGACCACCACGACCCGTATGCCTAGCCCTAAATCATCAATGACCAAACCGCCAACCGGTAGTCCACCTTCTCCTTTTACTATCCCACCTTTCCAGTTGAAAGCTCAAGCTGAGATTGATCCCAAGAAGATTCATGCTGAGACAGAGCAAAAGACGACCGAGAAGCCCAAGGGATGGCTATTTGGTGGCACTCGCAAAGCAGCATCCAAGGAAAGTGAGGCAAAGGGCAAGAAGTATTCTTCTGATTCCGAGGATGCAGGAATGAGGATCTTAACAATTACTGGTGATAATAAAGGCGCTTTCATGGAGATAAACCAATCATCCCACCATAAAAATGGGTCTCAGGGAACTCCTTTTCGTCTCGAAAACAGCAACAGCATCGAGGCAGGTGATCGGAAGATGAAGGCCAAGAGCAACTCATCCAAGACAATGCCTATGAACGCATTCATTAACAGCAATGTTCAAGGCATTAATAACTCAATCATGTACAATTCTTCATGCGTTTGTCATGACCCTGGTGTCCACCTTACTCTCTACACAAAACCAACTGTTGGAGGATTCCATGTCGAGTAAAGTAGCAATGGCTACAACAGCTACGGAGAAAGCAAAACATTAAATTTAAAGGTTTTAAAGTCATTTTGGTTTGAATAAATTTAGGCTATTACTACTTTCGAGTTGTTGCCTGTAGGGCAGATGGGTTCGGATTCTTCGGTACCACTTTTTCGTGGCGTCTAATTGAAGAGGATCCAAGCCCATCCCCTTTAGAGTTTAAAATTATGAGCTAGACTAAAGAATGTAATAAAAATGGCGGATAAAACCCTTGTGTTTGCATTTCACCAACTGTTTTTTATAACACCAATTTTATTTTTAATTTTGCCTTGCATATTTTAGTTTTACCTTTATGACACTCCTAAAATTATATTTAGACTAAGCTGAGTGGCCACCCAATCTAATTTAGAAATATTCAGCGGATAAATAATCAATATATAAAATTATAAAAAAAAGCACGAATCAAGTGGTCTCCGTATTAAATGAATTGTTGTTATTATTTGAGAACTCGGGTTCGAGCACCATAGATGTCAGAGGTGTGAGCGTTCAATGTCAAAATGTTAATAGTTAACTTTAAACAAATATTGTCCTGTACTTATCCATATTAATAAAAATAAAAAAATTATAAGAAACTAACATTTCTATGAGAATTTTACATTACCTAAGAAATTTTTGGCAATGACATTATTCATATATTCTCACATATGAATTTTAAGGTACTAGCCCAGGCAAATGCGATTCCTCCTATAATAAAATGTCCTAGTTCACCTTCCCTCAAACTGCAAGAAAAAGCTCTACGTGCTCTAGAAAGGATTTTCCGGCTGCCTGAGATCAAGCAGAAGTATGGTCCATCTGCTCAGATGCCTTTAGTAGATTTAACACAGCGAGGCAACAGTAGTATGAAGTCTCTTTCAGCTAGAATACTTGCTCACTTGAATGTTCTTCATGACCAGTCTTCTTATTTCTAAACATTACAATTCAATGGCTTTTTACTTTCTCAAATCAGATCCGAGGAGAAAGGACCGACCACATTATTCGCCTTGATGTTTTGTTTTGTAAGCACGTAACACCAGTGCGCATGCTCAAGGCCCGTTAACGAATTCACCTTGAAAGCTAAACAAGAACTACGAACCCACTCCATCGTCAGTGGGCGGATGTATCAGTGTAGCTGTTGCTTGTCATTGCTCGAGTAGCACTGTTGCAGCACCATGATTGATGATACACATCAAATTTAAGCTTTTGCTGTTAAGGAACGGCTGCACGGAAGAAATTTTATGGGGTTGCCGACATTTAAAAGCACACCATTAGTGATATAGCTTGGAATTGAATTCTTTCCTTTTAAGCTCTGTGGTTCTTTTTTTCCATTCTTTCACAGTCAAGTAAATACTTTATCTATAGCTTCTGTGATTCTCCTGTATTAAATAATCAAGAAAATGCAGAACGAGATGGTTTCGTATCTGTCAGCTCAAATCTAAATATCGAATCTCAATAGCATTAACTATGTTAATATACAAATTATCAGATCTACTGTCGGACAAAATATCGAGTCCAACTTCTTAAAAAATGAAGATACATTCAGGGGAATTGACAAAATGCATATTTTCGTTAAGTTTTTATAAATGAACTCTGTTTCTTTTAGATTATAACAAAGGAATCGTCAACAACAACAAAAAGGAGAACTAAGAATATAAATTAAGGTACTCCTAGTAACTTTTTTTTTATCTGTCACGAGACAAATGTAAGACCTGGTGCTGCTTTTTTTTATGCTGTCTTCTCTTTCATTCTGTATCGTCGACTCCTTCCGAAAAATTTAAGGATCTCATCAATAAGTATGACCGGTAGTGAGACCAGAATTACCAAGAACCATTCATTCAGGCTCAAGGGAACGACAGCAAACATATTTGCCAGGAATGGAACGTAGAGTATAAGGCAATGGAGTCCAAATGAGACTGACATGGCAACCAAAAGCCAAGGGTTCCTCCAAGGTGGCAACGTTAGCAGGCTGCTGTCTTCGGAAAGCGCATTCAATGAATTGAACATTTCGATCGCTACTAATACAGATAGTGACAGAGTCATTGCCTTCACTTTGCCATGGTGAAGTAGTCGCACGGGTTCGAGAAAGTGATGAGGTGACCATCACTGATCATATATGGCGCCACCGAGAAATTTGACCATGTCGGGCACTCTCCCCAGTTTTGAAGCCGAGACAGTTCAACTAGTGTGTGACCATCACTCACAAGGTTGATACCCATAAAAGAAGCCTGAGTGTACCACAAGATGAAGATGCCAACAGTTGCTATGCCCACATAAGAACCTATTATCTGCAAAACATAAATGTCGAATCTTTCAGTTTTAAAATCCCTGAACCATGCCTTACCTTATAAATTAGTAGGCAGAAACTATCGGTGTAGATCAATACTAACCAAGTAACGAAACAGGACCCAGGAGTTAATGAGAGCATCATCACTTTTACGGGGCGGTTTCTGCATTATGCCAACGTCTGGAGGATTAAATCCAAGAGCTGTCGCAGGCAAACCATCGGTAACCAAATTCACCCATAAAAGTTGAACAGGTATCATACACTCTGGTAATCCCAGAGCAGCAGTCAAGAATATGGAGATTACTTCTCCAACATTGGATGATATCATGTATCTGTGGATTTAGGAATAGAATAAATAAGGCATATCTTAATTGCTCAGCAAAGTAGTAAAAGCAATTAAACATACCTTATGAAAGCTTTCATGTTATTATAAATTGAACGACCCTCTGCAACGGCTGAAACGATGGTGCTGAAGTTGTCATCTGCCAAAACCATATCAGAAGCTTCTTTTGCTACCTGGAAAATTAAACAATGAGCATGCATGTCAGAGTCCAAAAGGTTTTACATAGAACTGAAATCTTATTATCCTTCTCATTTTCCTTTTGAAGTAGAAAAGATTTATTTAAGGATCATTAGTAGGGATGAACATGAATACGTTTGCCTAAACCGTAGAGTTTGCTCTAGGCAAAAGTCATATGCAGGCTACAAGATTTTCAGGCAAAAGAACAAAGGTGATATACTTACCTCAGTTCCGGTTATGCCCATAGCAATTCCGATATCAGCCAGTTTGAGGGCAGGAGCATCATTCACACCATCTCCGGTCATAGCAACAATTTCTCCCATCTCTTTTAGCATCCTAACAATTTCTTGCTTATGCCTAGGCTCCGCACGAGAGAAGACCTTCCCCCCTGGCTTTGACAAGGTCTCGATTTGTTGTGAAGGGGAAAGAGCCATGAATTCTTTACCAGTAAAACTTTTTTCTCTAATATCCTCTCCGTCAGATAACAACTTAATTTCACGACAAATAGCCTCAGCTGTGGATTTATTATCTCCTGTTATCACCATAACTCTAATTCCTGCTGCTTTGCAGTCTTCAATTGCTTTGTGAACTTCATCTCGAGGAGGGTCCTATACGGATACCGAAAATTACATCTCTGAAAATATTTAACTTGACAATCTATTAACCGATATAAACAAAAAAGTGGTTCATATATACTTTACCCTGAGACCAACAACCCCTACAAAAACCAAGTCACTTTCAATGGAAGAATAGCAAGATGGATCAAGCAACTTCTTATGAGAAGGATGACTCTCAGAGCAGTAGTCTGAAAATTCTCCAAGTTCATCCTTATATGCTAATCCCAAGCATCGCAATCCCTTCGAACTCATCTCGGAATTTCTAGAAAGCAATAGTTGCCTACAAGATTCATCCATTGGAACAGGAGATCCATCTGCAAGTTGCACATGTGTACTACGTTCCAGTAAACTCTCAACAGCACCCTGCAGATCATGTACATTGATTTAAAGATCAAAGAAGCAATGGCATAATGACTCATTTGTAATAAAAATAACAGAAAAAAGATTGATAGGCACCTTGACAAGCAGTCGGATGTGCCCAGTAGGCTCTCTGACAATAATGCTCATAGACTTTCGAACACGATCGAACTCCAACGTTGCAAGCCTTTTTGATCTTTTGGTCCACCACTCACAGCAGCCTAAGGTTTGCAAAATATCATAAATCAAAGAAGTGCAACATAATGCATGAATATACTAAAACTAGAAAGATTTCCAGCTCACCTAGTTTAACCGTGCTTCGGTCAATCAAATAGTTCGCAACAAGTTGTGAATCACGGATTTTGTTCCGCATCTTGGCATCTGGAACTCCCATCTTTTCAACCAAAACCTTCAAAGCCGCTTCTGTAGGCAATCCTGTAGCTCGGTAGAGACGACCATCGCAGAAAATCCCAGCATCATTGCAAACTGCACATATTTCTGCCATGACTTGTAAGTTAGCATCCATATTGTAACAAGTCCAATCAACAATTCCACCATCCTTAGGATCATAGGTTGTTCCTTCAACATGGAAGATTCGAGAAGTAGTGGTTTTCCCACCCAGGGTGAAGAATTCTGCGACGGACATTTGATTCGTGGTAAGAGTCCCGGTTTTATCTGAACAAATCACGGTGGTGCATCCCAAGGTTTCAACACTAGGAAGCTTCCGTACAATCGCATTCTTCTGAGCCATCTTTCTTGTTCCAAGAGCTAAAGATGTGGAGATCACAGCAGGGAGGCCTTCTGGAATTGCAGCTACAGCAAGGGCAACAGCTATTTTGAAATAGTACGTACATTTCTCGAACGAGAAGCGGAGATTCACAGGCCATCCATCCACCATATCCCAAGCGAGGAAGTTTTTGTAATTGATAAGCCACACAAGAAGACAAACAAGTCCAATTGCAGTTGTAAGTCTGCTCCCAAATTCATCCAACTTCTTTTTCAAAGGTGTGTCGCTCTCTTCCAAAGAGGCCTCGTGTATTTGCTTCTGTATTTTCCCAATCTCAGTGTTCATTCCGGTGGAAACAACGATACAAACACAGTTACCATTCACCACAGTAGTGCCTGCGAAAACCATATTTCTTTCTCCTGCAGCTCGCATTCCTCTGGGAATATAGGAGCAGTACCTTTCAAAACAGGCATTGCCTCTCCGGTTAGTGCACTCTGCTCCAATCTCAAAGTTGTCGTTTTCAAAGCTGCTATTCTCATATCAGCAGGAACCCTGTCGCCAACCTGCAATTCAACTATGTCACCAGGCACAAGCTCCCGGGCCGGCAGGTCTGGCACAAGGTACCCGTTTCTTAAAACCTTCCCGGATTCACATTGCATCTCCTTAAGGGCCTCAAGCGCCTTCTCGGCGTTGGTCTCTTGCCATACTCCAACAATGGCATTGAGGACTAAAATCAAAACTATAACAAATGGCTCCACATAGGCCTCAAAACCAGACTCCTCGGATTCACTCCCATGCATATGCTAGAATGAAAGATATAAAAGCTGCAACTAGAAGGATCTTTACGAGCATGTCGTCAAATTGTTCCAGCACGAGCCGCCATAAGGGCTTCCCTTTCTCTTTCGCAAGCTCATTCCAACCATACTTGTCACGCTGCTTTTCCACCTCGTAACTACTCAAACCCTTGTCTAGTTTAACATTGTACTCTTTCAGACACTGTTCAACAGACCACGACCAAGCAGGGAAAGATCTTTCCTCCATTGAATTCTCGACGTTGGTTATTTCCCCCAAGTAAAAGAGCTACTTTAATTTTTGCTTAAAACCGTGTAATTTTCCTGCAAAACTGATCAAAAACTACAATCAAGTGATAAGAAAGAGAGAAAAGAATCCGAAATTTTCCACCACTAGCATCATAATTGAACAGTGAAAAGAGCTAAGAAAAGAATAATAACGGTTAAAACAAAGGTACAAAACAGAACAAAAGCAGAATCCATGAAATTATGTCGAATTACCGCATGAACCAACTAGTCACTAGAACAATTACTCCAAACTGAATTGCAACAAAGACCCATCAACCCAGAAGAAGGAAAGATATGGGGAAAACTGCTTATAGTGGCAGATAACTGCTAGTCTGCTAGCAAGACTTTAAAAACTGTAACTTTAGTTAATCATATGACCCCAAAAAAATGAAAACTTCACCTCAAAAACAAAACATACCTCAAATGACTGAAATGTTGTTACAGGAAACTTCAGTGTGCCTGACAACTTAAAAGAAGAAAAATGCAATAAATAAAAGAATAAAACTTTGAATATTAATCAGACCAAGACAAAAACATGGCTTGGGGACAAAGCAAAGTTGAAAAAATTCTGTGCATCTCTTTATATATATATATATATATATATATGCAAGAACTCGTCACATAAGAAAAGAGAGGGAAGAAAAAGGAAATTGTTCTTGGTCAGTCTCAACCGATCCTTTGAACTTTTGTGGTTCTAATTGTTATGGGAACGTGACTCGCTCCATGTTTGGGATTCCTTTATTTTGTCAGTTACTCTTATAGGAAGTTCAAAGCTCAAATTTTATTGGCCTAATCATATTTTAAGCCTTCAATTTCCTTTTGAGAAAATTCATTTAATTCTTTTTTTTTTGACAAATTTAATTTTCAAATTTAAAATTTTTATTAAATTATATTAGTTGACGGAAAGAGTAAAACAACAAATATACAGAGAAAAAAGTCCGCCGAGAATATAATATAAAGAACAAAAGTGGGGGTCGGTAAGGTTGGTTTTTTGAATTGGGAAATGGGAAGCAACATTCCAGGAAGCTTCCTACCTTCAGCCTCCAGAATCCATTGGTAAGCACACCATGATTACTGTGGTCAATGGGATTTAATTTAATCTCACAATCATCAAATCCCAACGTCACCTAATAAATGGGGCCTTTTCCTTTTCCTTTTCCTTTTCCTTTTCCATCATTCTTCTTCTGTTAACTCAAGAGTTCAGTTTCATTTATAATAAATTCACACTTCTGTTATGGTTCAAGGAGTGCCAACAGCTGCTAGCGTGATACAGATATTGTCTCTGTCTCACCTCATGTCTACATTAAGTTTCCCTAAGATCCCAACACATTATATTGTACCTCAAAGAACAGACACTTGCTTTATCAAAAGAATGGATAAAGAAAATGCCAGTGCATGGTTTCTCTTCATCACACTCACCACGCATGTTCTTGTGTTTATTTTGATGTCAACTGCCCAAACTTCGAATGAATTTTCCTTTTTCTCCATTAATATCTAAAAGTAATAATTTGATCATTGTTATTATTGATTTATCATCCTTAACAATTGTTACTATGATAACAGACTAATGTTGATGCGACGTATTAAACCGATTGGCCTAACACACTTTGACTATGCATGCTAATAATTTTGACTGGCATTTGACTTTCCTTCTCAAAGAGGACCCCCAATCCCTAACAAAATCTTAATTTATCCATTTCAAAATCAGGGATAAAAATAATCATGAGCAGAGGAGAATACGGAAGGTTCAATTGACGTGCCACTTTGACTAAGCATTTTCGAAATACACGAAAAATCAAAATTTTGATCAAGTATTTTAATAATTTAATTCTTAATTTCATTTTTTTTTCAATTTCTTCTTTATTTTAAGTTTATTTTTTTATTAAATTTGAACCATATGCTCTTAAATCATCGTATAATAAATATGTATATTTAATTCCTCTTTTTGATACCAAATTTTCTATTTTTCAATTTAGTCCTTCCTTTTTTCATAATTTATTTATTTCTACAATTCATCCTTTATTTTAAGTCTTTTTTATCAAATTTGAACCACATACACATATACCACAATAGAATACCTATGTAACTTCAATTTTTTTTTACAAAAAATGTACTCTTTTTTTAATCCATTAACTTTGTATTTTACTAAATCTTTTGACTACGATTGTTTGTACATTTTTTCTTCTCATTATCCTTTATACTTTCATCAATATGTTACTCTCAAAGTATTTTCTTTAAAATATAATATTATGAACATATTTTTATAATTTAGATTGTATTTGACATTTTTAATAACATTATAATGTAAAAATATATATAAATGGTGAAAGAAAATAAAAAAGATTAGAACAAATTATTAAATAATTATAATAAAATTAGTATAGAAACTCGAATAACTCACTCGAAAAAAATTTAAGTTAAGTTTGAGTTGAAAAATACAACTCATCAACTCGAATAACTCGAATTATTTTTATTCGACTCGATCAAATGTATCTCTACGTTGAGGTCTAATCGCTCACTATACCTTAGCCCTTTTTTTTCAAATATCTGTAGCGTGTTTGACTCCACAGACAATAAAGGGATGCTGTGTTCAAAGACTTTCCTTTCTGGTTGGTTTAGCTTTCTATTAAGAAGGAGCAATTGATATTTGATAGCATATATACATTTTATTTATTTTTTAGTTAGTACTAAACACGCGTGTATCTTACTTAACATGCGCTGGACCGAGGGTATTACATGCATTTCTATAATTTTGGCGTGGAGGGGGAAGTATGTGTTGAAAGATACATTTAGAGACGTTGATGGGAGTAAATGGATTATATTGATTGTTAGTGCTTCATTTCTTTTGATTTGAACAGAAAATCGTAATCGATAATGATTCATGCGAAGGAACCACAGTCCTCCATTCCAGCCTGTTAGAAGCTTTGTTTTCCATGTCGAAATTTTCCTGGTGTGGGTTTTGGATTCTACAGAGGAAGGAGAGCTGCTATGAACCTCTTCACTTTCTTTGTTTCGTACAATTGGCTGCACTCTTATGGACTAAACAACATTGTCAAACTGAAAAGCACTGGCCAGTTCTTTTGGTCCTTTGTCTTTAAATTAAAGGATTGAGAGAATGGGCCTTAAAAAAATCGATCGCCATTTTAGCTGAGTGTCATTTTCTTTATTGTTTATGTTAGTAAATTCAAAAGCAATATGTTTTAGCTGTTTGAAGAAAAAAAAAGTGATGAATTCATTAATAAATTTAATAACTGAATTAAAATTTCTTTAAACATGATATATTTATTGAATTTAAAAAAATATTTATGATTTTTTAATTTAGATATTAACAAGATGATTAGTAAATGTAATTACAGTGACATTACTTAAAAGAATCCGTATGATTAAAAGGCAGTTTTTGAATGACAAGTAGCAATAAATACAGATAATTAAAAATCTATAATAAAACAGGGGATTAGGCAGATTACATTCCAGTGGACCTCTAATGGAGCTTTCCCCTTTCCAAAGAAAACAACACGACAAGTTTCTAGTCTTAGTATACTCACGGTCCTAGACGGAACTTGAACGGTGTCCTGTTGGTTTGGATTAGATAGTTGGTTGTTGTTGTTGTAATAATGGTCGGTTTCGATAACTAATCTAAACGCTTTTTTTGACAGAGCTTTCCAGTTTTCCATTCAAACGAACAAATAAAGACCCATCCTTTTTTTACAGATAAAGGCAACTCTTTGAAGGGGAGGGCTCGGAATTTTGCTGTCTAGATTCCTAAATCCAACAAATACCCAGAAAAGCCAAGTCTTTGAAATATTTATATAGATCCATCGGAAGTATGAAAAAGCCTCAAGAACTTACCTTTGAGCTATGGAACTTGGATAGGAAAAAGGAGGAAATGAGAATGAAGAAAAATGAATGGAAGAAGAAGATGAAATGAGATAAAAGCTCTCATCTTTGTAGAAAGGTGAAATTGCTCATTTGGTCCTTCTTTATCTTTCACTAATCAAATATATTTTTTTATTAACAATTGGGCTCGATCCAAACTCAATCAAGCCCACATTTGACCCAACGACTTTAATTACGAATTTCATGGTAAATCTGAAACTACTAGCTTGAAATTTGGGGTGTTACAAAGAAGTTGAACAATAAAAAGGCTTTAGATTTTGAAAGAAGAGAGAGAGAATCCTTTTCTATTTTATATCTCTTTAGTGTTAGAGGAGGGAGATTATTACTATTTATAGATAACAATGATGATTATATTTGACTATCATATAATAAATCTAATAAATGATTAAATTAACAACGGTCAAATAAAAAACTATAACATTCCATATGGCATAAAATCTCAAAAGCTTCAATAAGCCAAAAAAAAATGATAATAGAGATGGGAAGTAAAATGATAACATGAACCAAAAAGTTAACAGTAAAAAAAGTTAAGATTTTCAAATAAGAGAGATATAGAGTTTAATTTTTAATTTGCATGGCGGTTTATATATTTATCTTTAGTATTATTGTCATATCTAAAGTGATTATGTCTATTTGTAGGTTGACAAAATAAATAGTCTTGAACATTATATAATAGATTTAATCGATAATGAAATTGAAATAATGAGATAAAAGATTGTAGTATTTCGCAATATATAAAACTCTAAGAACTTTAATGAATAAAAAATACTAATGAAGATGTGGTTTGAGGAGGAAGTATGGGGGACCACAAAAAATGATATTCAAAGGCTTTGTAAATGAAGAGGATGACACGAGTTTGATCATTCTCCAACCCGAATTGACTCAATAATAAGTCATTTGAAAAGGAAATGTAGGGCAATATCATCACTTCTTGCTGTTGTAAGAAATTAGTTGTTCGCGTGTTGTGGTTCCACACGATCGCATCACCTTTTTTAACATGTGGCCTCTAATAATACCATGCATTACGATGGCAACCGTCACTAAACTAATAATAACGGTAATAATAGCCAATAAGAGGGGGTCGAATAGTTAGTTGACTGCTTTATGTTTGACTAGACACGAGACACCTGGCATATCAAAAGTAATTCATGATAATTCAACAGCAGAGATTGGAATAACGATAACATTGGTCGGCCTGATTTTTTTCGGCTGAGAAGAAAATCTATGGCATCCATTTAGCATGAAGGACTGTTAAAGGGGTCCACGAAACTCCCTCAAAGAAGCATCTGGAAATGTTAAGAGTTTAATTTTTAGGGCATAAAAGATGTAAGGTCGGAGGTTATGGATTGTTCACATGAGATGTCTTGAGCTGTTTATGGTGGATGGGTGATTCAAATATATTTAAAGAGAAATCTATTTCATGGTTTAATGTCGATTATGAATGAAATTTCTAACGATATTTCATTTTTTTTCTTTCAAATAAAAAAATATATATTAAGTGGTTTCATTTAAATAATTATAGTTACCAACAACCAG